TGGTCACACATGTGTATGTTGATCTACTTGTGTACACGTATCCTTCTACATCTGTATGCTTGTGTGCAGCTGTGTAGGTGGGTGTGCTTGTGTGTACATGTACATGCGGGTGCACGCCGATCTGAAACTGTGTGCATATGTCTGTCGGTGAACGCGCATGCACAGCAGCAGAAGCTGGTGCATTGCCTGATGTGCCCACATGTTGTCTCTCATCTCATTCCGCGTTCACACGTGTGTATTTGTTCATGTACATTGCCAAGACCTTTCACCTTGGACAACGATGGTGACGGCTTTGAGGAGAATGCATGCGCCCCGCAATTCACACCCTCCTCCTCCTCCTCCTCCTCCTCCTCCTCCTCGTCATCATCATCATCATCATCGGCCAGCACCATCAACAGGCACCGGCTGCAGAGCATCATGGATGCCTCCTTTCGCCCCAAAAACATCAGGACTGCCTCCCCGGGCACAGATCGGCCGCAGCAGGCCGCGGGCATGTGCGGCACGCGCGTGACGCCAAAGACGGAGGAGATGTGTGTGGCAATCCAGGACGAGACCCGCACTGCCACCGCAACGCTACCGCTGGACACCACCCATCCCCACAACAACTCGGCCATCAGTACCAGCCTGCGCGGCCCCACAGCTCCAACATCGTGCGCTGTGTGCAATCGTGGCGGCGCGGTTGGCACGACGGAGGTTGCGTGCTCGTGTGGTCCGTCGGCTCGGACGATGCACAGTGGCGCCCGACGTAACAGTGTCAGCGACATCAAAGATGAGAAGGATTACAGCAAGGGTGAGAAGGATGGCAGCAAGGATGGCCGTGGCGGTGGTGGGCGTGCGCTCGCGCTGAAGAAGCACAAGACCGGACACGGAAACAGCGGCAGAAGGACGGATGGCGAGCAGACTGCAGGGCACAGCGCAGCGATGACACGGCAGCAGCAGCAGCAGCAGCAGCAGAACAACAACAAGAAGAAGAATAGGAAGAAGAAGAAGAAGAGACGAAGCCAGAAAAGGTCAAAGGAAGCCGACAACGCCACGACAGCAGCAGCAACGAGGGCGACACAAGGACGTGACACTGTCGCCACCCCACCTGTCAACGGTGATGGCGACACGACCAGTGGTGGTGACACGGCCGGAGCAACTGAGCAGGGGCACGTAGCGCGTGACGGTGGCACCAAGTTGGAGCGGCAGCAGCGAATCGTGCGTCCGGCAGCGGACGTCGTTGCCAGGGCCCTCGCCACCAACAAGCGGTGCGGGCACGCGCGGTGTTGTGTACATGCACGCGAGCACGTAATATTTGCTTGCTTGCACAGATTTCGTTTGACCGGACTGTGTGATTGTGTGTGTGTGTGTGTGTGTGTGAGTGTGTGAGCGTGTGCATGTGCATGTGTGGTAGTGTGTGTGTGTGTGTGTGTGTGTGTGTGTGTGTGTGTGTCAGTAGCTTGTATACAGCGGCCGCGCCCTCTGACCAATCATGCGGGTGCATGTGCATGTGATTGCACATGCTACTGCGCGTCCTGATTTTGTTTTCAGCTTCCCACGTCGCAGCACCAAGGTGCTGACGCAGTGGCTGATGCGCAATGTGCACAACCCATATCCATCGGAAGAGGAGAAGCAGGAGTTGAGGGCTGCAAGCGGCCTGGATCTTGTTCAGCTCAACAACTGGTACGCCTAAAAAGAATGTATGAATGTGTGCGTACGTGTGCATGTATCGTTGGTGTCGCTTCTCTCTCCCTCTGTCTCTGTCTCTCTGTCTCTCTGTCTCTCTGTCTGTCTCCCTCTCCCTCTCTGTCTCTCTGTCTCTCTGTCTCTCTCTGTGTATGCTTCATTGTGGGCAGGAACAGTGTAGTGTGGTGCAGCTTGCTGGCTGAGATCTGCCTGGTGCACATGCTTATGTCGCGCACACTGAATCAACCACACGCCCTCACCACCCCAACACCGCCCCGCCATTCACATCGTTATTGCCGTCGCCTTCCCTCGCCCCAACACACACACACACACACACACACACACACACACACACACACACACACACACACACACACACACACACACACACACACACACACACACACACACACACACACACACACACACACACGCATCTGCACCCCTGCAGGTTCATCAATGCACGGCGTCGCATGCTCGTGAAGGTGAAGGGCGATGGCGCGTCTGCAGTGTTCCACGTGCAGAGCACCAGGGCGAGCAGGGTCAAGACCAGCAGGCACAACAGAGGGGACGTGATGTACCCAGCAACTGCGGGGGCGACAATGAGGCGACAGCGGTGCACGTTGCATTGGCGTGGTGCGCCTGTTTTGTATCTGTAGTCCACAGCGACATATACTTACTGAGTGATACCCCATGCTCGTTGTATCGATTATGCGTATTTGTAATGGTTCGGTTTCAGGCTCACTGCTCATTTCATTTGGAAACAGAGGCTATCGATTTGGTGTCTCCGGTGGTAAGTGGCTTTTCCCTTTGTGCGGCCCCCCCCCCCCCCCGC